GCCGCGTTGCAGGCCGACGAAGAGGGAGGCTGCACATCCCAGGCGGACGGTTCAGGAGGCCCTCCTCCCTCGGGCCCGGGTGGGCCATCGCTTCCCCTCGACGTTCCGCGACGGAGACAGCCTGGCGACTATCTTGGCGGCGCCGCGGGGGGGTCAGGATCAGCCAGTTCCCAGAGAAGACGATTAGCGAGGCCATCGAGTCCCGGGAGGGGGCCGAACGCGTCGCAGCGGTCCCAGTCGTCGAGCCAGCGACCCATGTCGGGGGCCTTGAGGCGGGGGTCAATGCAAACGGGGGTCAGCCAGAGCGCCAGATCCTGCAGGATCCTGCGGAGACCCCGTCTGGCTGACCCGGGTTAGCGAGCCGCTCGCGGCCGCGAGGCGGCCGCGCGCATTTGCTGACCCGGGTTTGCGAAGATCTGCGTTGCAGTTTTTCTCCTGCATTGCAGTTTTTGGTTTCCTGCTGACCCGGGTCTGGATTGACCCGGGCCAGAGGATCCCCGACCATGCGGTGTTCGCGGTGATCAAGCTGAAGTGGAAGGGGGAGACGCCGGCGTCTTCGGCGCCGCGTTACGATTCACAGTCGGAGGGCCCCGTCGAGAACGCAAGCGGCAGAGTTGGTGGATCGATGCGGACGCTGATCAGCTCTGCTGAGAGGAAGTGCAAGCTGCAGCTGACCCCAGACCTCGCCGTGGTTCAGTGGGCCGCGAGGCGCTGCGGCTGGGCGCTCGCCCGATGCGCGGTCGGCTCGGCAGGGCTGGCCCCATTCCGGCGGCCGCGAGGCAGGCCGCGCAGGGGGGCGATCGAGCAGACGTGCGAGGCCGCCCCTGCGCTACAAGATGCACCAGCAGGAGAGGCTAAAGCCCGGGTGGGAGAAGGGCATCTGGCGCGGAAAGGTCGGGTCCACGGTCTAGCGCGTCATCGGCGCGCCGAGCGGCCAGGTCGGCACCGCGGTCGGGCGCCCTGAGGACAAGCGCCGGTCAGGGCGATTCCACCCCCAGGTCGTCTGCGCGCCATGGGGCGCAGCAGCGAGCGAGGCTGCGCCGCGGAGAACCTTCCTCGCGCGGTCAGTGCTGGGCTGCGTCAGCAGGACTGCAGGGCGCAAGGCCTGCGAGGGGTGCGGCGGCCCGCGCGCTCGCGAGTTCAGCGAGCGGCTTGAGGAGGAGCTCGTTGGGGAGAGGAGGCTGGCGGGGGACGGGCCGCCAGCTGGGCCTCCGCCTGAGGGGCCGGCGCCGGAGCCGGCAGCAGGCGCGCTTGCAGCGGCGGCGGCAGCTGCGGCCCCCGAGAAGGCGCAGCCAGCAGAGCCCCGCGCGGAAGGCCGGGAGCCACGCGACTTCGGCAGGCCAACGACGAACGCCAGCGGCCGAGGGTCTGCGCGCGGCGAGAGCAGCGGCGCCCGACCCATGGTCGAGTCCAAGAGGCCCCGCACCGTCGGCAGCCTTGGCGCGAACATGATGTAGAGCATGTTCGTGGCCATGGTGACGGCGGCCGCGGTGCAGGGGCCAGCGCGCGGCGCGCGTCGAGGTCCGGCATTCTGCTGGGCCCGGAGCTCGCGGGCGCGGGCCGACGGCGCGCGAGGGAGCTCGCGCAGGAGATCGGGGCGCCTGACAGGGCGCTGCGGACCGAGGCTCGTAGCAACCGAGTGCCAGCGCAGCGGCGGGGTTACGAGCGTTACGACGACACCGGGGCGATGTTCGTCCGATCCCGCATCGTGGCCATGTGGGTGGCGTGGGGGCCAGGTGCGGATGCTTCGCGGGGGCGCCCGGCTTGCCCGGCGCGAGGCTCGCGCATAGTTTCGCTGCGACGCTCGTCGGAGGTGCGCGCAGGAGGCGGGTTGCCCTGTGCGACGCCTTCGTCGGCACCTACCACGCGCTGCTGGACGAGCACATCTGGGTCGACTCTTCAAAGATCAAGGGGGGGGGGGGGGAATGCGAGCTGAGAAAGGCTTTGCTCGGCGCCGGGAGAGCAGCGCTGAAGTTCCAGGAGTGCGTCATCGATGCGCCTGCGAAGTCAGTGTTCACGTGATTGCGGTCGCAGCGCAGCGCAACGCGCGCCATCTTGGCCGTGGTCCACAGAGATGACTTTTGCGCGGCGCGCATGCGGGGGGAGCTCGGCTGGCTCGACGGGGTGCTGGAAGAGCACTTCGTGATCTAGTGCAGGCTTGGTGTCCCCCCCCGCAGTTTGCGATCAGTCGGGGAGGGGCCGCTTCCACTGGCTTGCGGACGCGGCGCGCATCGAGAGGGTCATTGCGTCGCGCCCAACAGGTTGCTCAGCCCTGGCAGTGAGCGCGCGGGCGAGAGTCGGAAAGGCGCCGCGGGCCCCCGCGGCGACGCGGAAGGGCGCGAGCACCGCAGTCTCGCACCGTCGGCGCACTATGCGGCCGCGGGCCGCCCTGACATTCAGCGCGCGACTGGAGCGCCAGTGCGGGCGCTGGAGGAGCCCGCGGCGTTGTAGAAGGCTTCAGCTGGAGCGCTGAGGCAGCTCCCTTAAGGCGCGCAAGGAGCCGCCGTGGGACTTCGCGCGCCAGGAGACGGCGAAGGCCTTCAACGTCGAGGCGGGCCCCGGCTGGGCGCAGTGCCCGCGGACCCGTTCGTTGATGGGGGGCGGCCCCCCGTTTTGGGGCGGGTCGCCAGCTGGGCAGCGACTGCGGCCAGCGCCAGAACATGTTCCTTTCGTCGGGCGCAGCCGAGCTTCGTGAGCTGGCGAACGGCGCGGCGCGCTGATTTTTTCCAAGCACGCGTTGGACGAGATGGGCGAGCCGGACCTCATCGCGGAGGTCGGCTCGGACTCGGCTGCTGCCCTGGGCGTCGCGCATCTCCCCGGCGCTGGCCGAGCCAGACACTTGGAGGGCAAGCAGCGCTGGGCCCGCGAAAGGGCGAGGCCAGGAGAAGCGCAGCCAATCAACGTCAAGGCGAAGGTGAACCGAGGTGACTTGCTTACGAAGTTCCTCGACCCCGAGCGGCGCCGGGAGTTGGTCGGGGCGCTGCCGCTGAGCTTGCCTGCGGCGTGGCGCCGTGCGACGCGCTGGCGGCGGCAGCTCTGACGACGCTCCTTTCCGTGCGGGCAGCCGCGACGGAGGGCGCGACGCAGACGGAATGTTTGCCAGTTTCCCTGTTGGCGTGGTTCTATTTCCTCGTCGGCGGCGTGCTCTGCGCGGGCCGACGGGGGCGCGCGAAGCCCGCGATGGTGTGTCAGAGCACGAGGACGGACGAGGTGGTCGTCCCATCGGAGCCCTGCAATTCACCCCACCACGGACAGGACCGACAGAACGCGTCCACCTTGCGCCGAGGCATGGCGAGAGGCACCACAGTTCGTGCTCACACAAGGGTATTGATCGGACTCGTGGGGCGAATGAGCTCGAGCGCTGCAGGCTGCGTGGCTGACTGTGCTCAACCTCGCGCGTTCCCCAGCTCAGTGCAGATTGGCACGAGGCCGAGGCGTCTCCCAGGTTGGTGCGGTCAGGCGCTAGGCTGATGCTTTTCCCGAAGGCTCGAGCTTGGCCAGCTTGGGCGGGTCTCCCGCTGAGAGAGTCGCGGGTCACGGACGAGGACCGGGTCGCTGGCGGCGACTTGATCGCGGTTGTGCGCTGAAGGTCGCTGAAGACTGGCCCAAAGTGGGGTTTGTCACGCGGACCGTCGGCGGCCGCTGTGGTCCGAGGGGGGCCGCGTCGAAGAGGCGCGCGAATCTCCAGACCCCGATGGCATAGAATCAGTCAGGCAATGTTCGTATGCAGTTCAGAACGGATGGAGTACGCCGTGCCAGTCCAGAGAAATGGAGACCCTCACTCTGGATGCTGGCGTCCACTTACGAAGAAATCGTGCGACCACCTACGCCCACATGATTGGATGGGATTATTGGCAGCCTGAGCCTGTGAACTACGGATTACCGCATCTATCTACAGCGCCCAGCGAGTTGTATATTAGCCACGGCAAGAAAACATGCAACGCGAGGCTATCCGATGGCAAAACACCTGGCGACACGCGGTGGCTGTCCTTTTGGGGTCAATCCGCTCCTCCCTTCTCAACGCTCCGCTGTTGCGGACATTGCCGTCGTCGTCCGTCGTCGTTGCGCTCGATTCGTCTGTGTCTTTCGCCAGCCGCCGTAGCTGTCGCGCCATCGACTGCCGCTGCCTCATACCCCCACTTGGTTTCGTCGTGAAGAATCACGATTCCGGGGACCTTCGCTAGGCCCCGTCGAAAAAAAAGGTTCGGGACGAAACGGTCGAGTCTTGGGAAGGGGCCGTGATCCTCAGGTTTCCACGGTGTGGGGGGGTGAAAAAAACACGACGTCGAAGTTCAGGGCAATTTTGTCAGGAGTTTTGTGCGCATTCGGGGCTTGCGTCAAACCAGCCTAGAATCCCCAAGGTCGATCGATCCGATCCGGTATCGATTCCGGCCGGCCCGTTCTGATCTGACCCCGGTTCCCGAGCATTCTTTTTGGGTGGAGGGCAACGGGTGAAATCTGAAATGCCGTTCCGATGGATTCTGGAGGCTTGAATCTGAGAACAAAAAAGGAGCATGACAAGACGGATTGATTTTCGAGGTGCAAAAGTCCATGTGTATTTCACCAGCGATCTGGAGGAGGAGGAGGCGGAGGCGGAGGAGGAGGAGGAGGAGGAGGAGGAGGAGGAGGAAAGCCTCCTCCTTCACCAATGTTATTTTTCAAGGAGCCCTCCGCCCTAAGGAAGTGCTCAGGAGCCCCCCAGCGATCCGATGCGGCCCGATGCCTGCGCGCCGCCGCTGTGCGCCCCGGCGCGGCGGCGGCCCGATCGGGCGAGATCGTCCCGAGCTGAGCCGTCGGGCGCTTCGGCACCGCAGGGGGGGGAGGAGGAGGAGGAGGAGGAGGAGGAGGAGGAGGAG